TGAGGTTGGGAACAAACCTTCCCAGTCTGGAGTCCTGATCCGGGGCTGTCTGGGTGTTGAGCACGGGAGGCACGTGTGATGATGTGCACACACACACAGGCGAGCTCTGCTGTGCCTGCCTGAGTCCAGCTCACACACAACCTCCTCTCGCCTTTCCCCTCCTAAACTCTGCAGTGTTTTAGGGAAGGACTTACCTGGATCACTCCAGCTGCCCGTGGGCGCAGGGATTTGCAGAGCACAGGCAGTACACTTGGGGCTGAAGGCGCTTTCTTGTCCTCCTGCACGTTTCTGCTCACTGGGGAGATGTCACCGCTTCTGGATCCTGGCGTGGGCAGCCCCCGGGAGCAGCAGCACGGAGCTGGGGTGCTGGGGACTCCTCACTGAGCACCCCTGCTGGCACCAGGGCTGAAAGGGTGGCCAGCAGGGCTCAGGGACAGGCAGCACACATACCCCAAAGCCAGTATTTCGTCAGTGAATTGCCGCCCTGCCACCCGTTTCACCCCATCCGTGTGACACTAACCCAGCCCTTCGCTCCGGGAGCGCTGCTGGCTCCATCCCCAGCCCTGCTCACACCCAGATGTTGCTGGCCCTGCAGCTGGAGCTCCCCTTGACACAGGAGCTGGCCAGTTCAGCTGTTCCACTGGCCCCCACTTCCCTCCTGAGATGCCTGGCTGACTAACAGAAGTGTCCCAGGAGTTTGAAACCTCTGGTAGGCACAAACGCTTCATGCAATGCTGACATACACAGCAATTAACTCTATTTTCCACAACAGCCTGTGCTATCAAAGATGTCCTTGGGTGTATTCTCTCCAAAGCCTCATAAAAATTCATGCAAACTTCCTAAAACACCTCATTTTCACTGCAACACTAATGAAAGCAACCATCCAGAGATCCTTCTGCTACACTTTATTCCATCACAGCCCAAGACCAGGCAGAGTAAGATCCTGGGTGAAAAGGTTGCATTTTTTTTTTTTTTTAGGACGGAATCTCTTAATTTTAATAGATAAAAACCTACTCTGAACTTAGCAATATGACTGTTATAAACCAGCTTCCCCAGCGCCCAGATGGCTGTTTAAAACACCGGGGTGAGCACAGCTTCGGAAAGTGAAGATGCACTTTGAGAGAACTGCATTCACCCGAATATTGTGCTGCTTCAAAAACAAACCCTGCCTTTCAAAATGTCAAAGGCAACAATTCACAAGCAAACACCATATGGTGCATTTGTTCTCTTCAGTTCCTCTCACAACCAGCTGAAAAAGAAGGAACATTTCAGAGCTGAAATGTCTGCTTGCCACACTGTACAGCGAGCTCTCAGGAACCGTAGATGGTGGCACGAAATTGCTGACAGGGACAGGATGGATCATCTGCAGTCCAGTCTCCAAAAAGCCCACTTGTAGAACTCACTGCCTTCTGGTTTTACTCTGGGATCTGGGTGGGATTTGCACAGGAAAAACCTCCCAGGATGTCCCCAAAGCCCCTTTTAAAAGTGTTTTTTTACCGTAGAGCTCTGAAGATCTGGCTAGCACAGCTCTGCGATGGTGTAACAGCTGCTGAGCCCCAGCGTGATTAAAAATAAACTGCAGTAAAAAAAGCCACTTACTGGTGGCTGAGGAAAAACAATCACTGGGGCAGCAACAGAACTGTTGGAGGCATCTTTTTGACTTTTAAAGGAGTTTTTAAATCACCTTCCTGATGGGCTCCCAGGCTTCAGCTCGTGGCCAGTGTGGAAGGGCAGGTCCTTGCAAGGAGCTGCCAGGAGGGAGCAGCTCCTGCAGTTTCAGGGAGGGATTTTCCTGCTCCCTCTGTTGCTGTTTTTGGATAAAAAGCTGGGGCCCACATCTCCAAATCCAGGGTGTGCCCCTGTCCCTCGGGGCCCACCGCACAGCGTCCTCAGCAACAGCAGGGCTCCCGTGTCTGTGCCTTCTGCAAATTCACCTCAACACCCAGTGGGTGTCCCTGCACTGAAATGATTCCCCAAACCCCACAAAGTGCAGGTGAAGACAAAGCCTAAATTCGCTCCCCACGACCCTGAGTGCTCAGGCAGCCTGAACCTGCCACAACAAGGCTGGGTGAAAAGCGGCCCAGCACCAAGTAACCCCAGAAGGCAAATATTCCTGTGATGCAGGCCTTCATGTTCACTCTTAAAGGTCTTTTCCAACCTGAATGAATTCTATGATTTGCAGAAGAAACCACTACTGGAGTAAAGACTTCACAATAAAAATAATTACCATTTATAAAATAATTACACACTGCTACGCAAGGAAGGCTCAGGCCTTACACTTTATTTCTGTAAATGAGAGACAGATCTGGCTTGTGATCAGCTAAGCACACTCAGGTAACAAATTAAAGCCATCCCTCTTATCCCCTTTTCCCAGCACGTGATGCTGAGGTTTTAGAACAACATTAAATAAAAGCTCACCAAGCGAGATGAGAAATCCGGAGTGGCGGCAATGCGCTCTGTCTGTGTGTTACACAGTCAATTCCACACTTTAATCGGGGACCCCCCCGACAACACTCAAAAGCAAAACTGTTTCTTTCATGGCCATAATAAATACTCCTGCTGGTCTGTGAAGAAGTAACAGCCCATGGGAAATGGCTTCTGGTGTCAGGGACGTGGCCACCGGTGCCTGGTGAGGAGAGCGCTGGGGCGGCTTGAGCAGGCTGGGCTCTCCTGTTCACCCCACGGTGGCCCAGGGCTGTTCTGTCCATCAGGAGAGGTTCAGAGTTCCAGGGCTGTTCCATCAGGAGAGGTTCAGAGTTCCAGGGCTGTTCTGTCCATCAGGAGAGGTTCAGAGTTCCAGGGCTGTTCTGTCCATCAGGAGAGGTTCAGAGTTCCAGGGCTGTTCCATCAGGAGAGGTTCAGAGTTCCAGGGCTGTTCTGTCAGGAGAGATTCAGAGTCCTCTGTCACCCTGCTGCTCTCATCCCGTGGGTCCGAGCTGTGCTGGCTCCCCGGCGCCTGACCATGAGCTGCGTGCGACGCCGCTGCCTCTCGCACCGGAGAGCACTGCCAGCTCCTGGGACAGCCCCTGTGACACAGCTGAGGCTCCTGCACCTTCTCCTCCCCTGGCATGGCCTGCCCCGAGCCCGGCAGTCCCTCTCCAGCCTCTGCCTGGCGAGGCCAAGCGGGACAGCGAGCCGCGGGCCGGCTGGATCTGCTCCAGCAGGCGCAGGGCCGGCTCCTTCCCCGCCACCAGTAAAAGTGCTGAGCTTTCGCTGAGGTATATCAATCATCTGCAACACGCCAGGAACCAAACCTCCGCTTCCATCTCATTCCCCTTTCTAAACCGCTCTGGGGGACGTCCAAACGCTCAAAGCTGGGACTGGAGACAAATGGCTTTGCCCTTCCGAGGCCTTCTCCGTCAGCTTGGCCTTCCAAACGCCTTCTCCGCCCCTGCACCTGGACTTGCACGCTGTCCCACCCACGCAGCCTCATGCCAGCGCCGCTCTTCAGCTGGAGCAGTGGCGTTTCCATCACCCTGGTGTGAGATCTTCACAGTAAGAATGCGTTTTTGGGCTTGTCGAGGCCTGCTCCCAGGTCCCAGAAAGAACAGAAACCAGGGCTAGCACAGCAAACTCCGCTGTTAGTTATGTGAGCCTCACACTAGTCCTCTTCACATCTCAGAGCATTTAGCTTGTTAGAAGGGTGGAAATAATTCATATGGCAGCAGTCAAATGTGGGCCTTGCAGCACTAAACACAGCAGTTTTTCTTTTACAAATGCAAGCGGCGCCGCTGCGCCGGACGGCGCGCGGCAGGATGGCGAGGAAAGCAGAGACTGTCTCGTATGGCACTATTTACAGACCTCCCGTTAAAAAGCTGCCGAGTTGCATTGAATATAAGCATAGAACGTTTCTTCCATATACAAACTCTCGTTAGCCGATTGATTATTAAGGTGCTCAGAAGTGTGGCTGGAAACAGAAATTACAGTAGATCAGTTGCGTCTTCGTCTATTTACACGCAGTTTCCCGCTGACACCAGCGTCCTCCGCAGGAGCTGGGAGCAAAGCAGCCAGTTTCGAACCTAGTGCCACGGGAACTGTTGTTCTCTCCACGAGATCTTTGTCAGAAGGAAAACCAGGAGCAGTTTGGTTCCCTTTTCCAGCAGCGGGTGCCCTGGCTGAGTCCGTGTGGCGGGCGGTGCCGGGCAGCATCGCGGCGCGGGACACGCCGCTCCCCGCTCTCAGCGCCCGTCCTCCTCCTCGCCTGTCCGGGGCAGGACTCGCAGCACCAGGCTGTCACGCTGACACGCATCACGCGGGCCCTCCTAAGTGCTCGGAAAGCTCAGATCCCCGTGCATCCCCTGCTGCACCCCGTGCAACAGAAGGGAAGATTTTGGCGTGAGAAACCACGAACCAGCAAAATGCACTTAGCAAAAATTTTGTCTTGTCTTCAGAAAAAAGTAAAACAAATCCCCAACGGCACACTGTAGGTCAAATTTCTTCCCCATTAACATTCTCAGAGGGTTGTTTTTCTGTCTGATGGCCGAACTCTGCCTCTGGTTCCGTTCTCTGCTGGCTGGTGGCTGGCACCACTTCATTCCACACCTGTGCTCACACAGGCGCCTCAGAGGGGCTCAAAACTCAGCGTTTTGGGAACCTGTCCAACCAGGAGGGTGTCTGACCGTACTGAAAATGCTAATTTTGTCCTTGTCGTTTCAAGTTGCTATAGAAAAGGAAAGGAAGCCGATTTGACTGCTGTTTGCAAACCTACCATGTACAGTCATTTTTCCCCTCGTACATTTTAAGTTTCAAACAGGTCCCAGAGATCGCAAGGCAAGGTTGTTAAGGCAGTGTAAGAAACTCGGTATTCCACTCGCACCTCTCGATCCCCTTAGAAGCACTTCTAAGGCATCAAAAGGGGCGTGCGGTTTGTGCTGGCCTTTTCCGAAAAAGGCATTTGGTACAGCGTGAGAAGGGGATGCTCAGTGGCACTGGGAAGCCGCTCGGCCCCGGGCAGCGGCCGCACCACCCCAGAGGAAGAGGGAGGAGCGGCGGGGCTGCGGGGCGCGGGTTCCTCACCACCGCTCCTTCTGGAACGCCTCTGCCTGCACCATGTCCCCGGGGTGCTCGGAGATGCAGGCCCCGTTGATCTCGTTGAGCTTGTTGTCTGGAAGATCCTCGGGTTTTGTGCAAAGTTTCAGCGCCCTGGAGATGAAGACGTCCAAGTCAAACTCGGGGTCGGTCTCGCTGCTCACCTGGGCGGGCTCCTGGTGGAGGCGGTGAGGAGAGGAGGGCAGGCTGCGCTCCTGCATCTCCGGGAGAGAGCCGGGGCACTCCAGCCCCACCTGCGTGCTCTTCACCCACTGGGCAATCTCCAGAAAGAGGTTGGACGGCTCCTCCTCCAGCGACAGCTCAGCGGGAGGGGCGATGGTGGCCCTTTTCCAGTGGGATAAATCCAAGATTAGCTTGGGCTCTGAGTAGTGGTGGGGCTTGCTGTCCCTCCACAGCAATTTGTCCAAGTAGGAGGGTGATCCCACTTTGTAATCACACGATTTCCCGCAGTCGGCATCAAAGACTCGGTCCATGGAGGAGTGGGACAGCTCCAAGAACCTCTCCGAGCTGCTCTGCGAGTATTTCCGTGGGTCGACCTGCGCTTCCTCCGCGGTGGGCTCGGAGCCGGCGCGGGGGTCGCGCTGGACCTCGTCCATGTCGTGCTGCTTGTCGTGCCTCCAGTCCAGGTCGGAGGAGAGGCTGATGTGGTACCTGCCAGAAACACGCTGCTGTTAGACACAGAGCACGGCCTTGCTGGCAGCCCAAACCAACCCCTGCCCTCCTGCCGGCTTCGCCTCTTGCTCGCTGATTTATTTATTGTCTTACTGGTAGCAGAGACAACCTTCCTGTCTGTTAAAATGGCAGGGGGTGGATGGTTTATCAAGAGCCTGAGGTGCAGCAATAAAAGCCCAACAACCAAAGCAAGAGGCCCCTTCCTTCAGATGTCCACCACCTCCCCTTCGCTCGGGACCTAAAGGAGATTAACACCATTAATAACCAATCTCAGCCCACAGACAGCTACCATGGTGTGAGTCCTTCCTGCTTGGTGACAGGACAGTGAAGGACATGTCTCAAACCCCACTGAGATGGGCATCACCAACCTGTCCTGATGTCAGGGACCAAGAGCACTCCTGAAGGGTCACCTGGTGATGGTTTCTCAAGCCAGCTGAAGCCCCTTGCAATTACCTGGCAGCTCCAGTTCCTAGACACCGTTCTCCCAGTGACACCCAATTTGCTGGCTCCTAACTGAGCTGCCTTTAAAACACGTTACCCCAGGCACTGGGGCTCTGCCACAGCCAAAAATCTGCTCTTCAGGTGTCCCTGAATCCTCTCCTGTCCCCCAAACAGCTGGCTGGTGCTGCAGAGTCTACAGCCCTGTATCAGGTGTCCCCAGCACATCTCTCAGCTCCTCGTGTCACACACAGAAAGCTGGCAGGGGAAAGGTGACAAGGTGGCCTCCAGCAGCCCAGTTGCTGCTTTGGGGCTATCCAGGGATGCACTGAAGACAGATATCCTGCTCCCAGCCTTCCTCCCCACCTGGCTGAGCCCTTCCAGCCTCCCCCTGACGCTTGCTCGCTCAGGCAAAGAGACTCATGGCAGTGGGGGCAAGGGGTTTCTCTAGGTGGTTTTTTCAGTCCTGGTGGAACCTAGGGGGTCGGAAAGGCGAGGAGATTTAGCTGCTGTGTGGAGAGGAACAGTGCTGCAGACGTCCTCAGCCAGCTCACCCCCCCACAGCTGCAAGGAGCTCTACAGAAAACCAAACCTCATCAACTCTCAGCTGCTTGTTTTGTCCTGCCTGCTCCAGGGGTAATCACCCCGAATGTGAGAGAACTCAGCTCAAGGCTTTGAGCTCTTCTAAACTTCCAGTACGTCTTTCAGCAAACCATTTACACACCAACACAATTCAGGGTTTTTTACAAGACCCCCAGATCTGTGGCCTCTGGGGCTTACGCCCCTTGGAAAGTGATGAATTCAGCACGGCAAATCAGGCACAAGAATTACATTATTTTGTAACCTGCGTTATAGGGACAGAGGGCAGGGGGAAGGGCTGCAGTGCCACTTAAACCCAAATGAAATGGCGACCTAGGCTGTGAATAAAACCGGGAGTAGAAAGGTACAACTGGGATGTGCAGGCTTAGCTGCTGGTCCCCGTGGAATCCAAGAGGAGCCTCTGGGTGGCTCCCAGCCCATTCCTTGGGCTGGAACTACAGTGTGGCATGAAGAAGGAAAAGCAGGCATCTTTCATGGGTCTGGAACACGTGTGGTGGAATCCGGGCAAGAGCATGCCAGAGACTTACCAGCCCAGCTCTGCCTGAAGCGTTCAAGGCAGAATCTGCTCCCCAGCCCAGCCCTGGCACTGTACCTGTCCCAGTTGGACATCTGGCTCTGGTTGGCTTCCATCAGCAGGATGTCATCGATCTCATCCTCGATGCGGAACGGGTGCTGAGACACCGGCTCGTCCTCTGGGCAGGAGTAGGGGCTCATGTAGGGGTGCTGCAGCCCCATCTCGGCCGTTAATCGATCCATGGGGTTAAACGTCAGTATTTTCTCCAGAAAATCAATAGCTGCCAGGCAGAGACAAACAGGCTCACTGACTCCTCAGAAGCAGCTCACCCTGCCACGGTGAGCCCCGCGGAGCCCCCGCGACAAACCCCCTGAATTAAGGGGAGAGCTAAAGGCCACACCTCAGGCAGACCAACCCAGGCACCTGTGTCCCTGCTGCATTCCCCCTCGGGAATTCCCCTCTCGGGAGCTGGGAGCTTGCTGGGAGCATCCCTGCGGCCTCAGTGCCACCCCCTCCAGCAGGGCAGGGCAGGGCAGGGCAGGGCAAGGCAGGACAGGGCAGGGCAGGGCGGGGCAGGGCTGGGCAGGGCTGGGCAGGGCTGGGCAGGGCTGGGCAGGGCTGGGCAGGGCTGGGCAGGGCTGGGCAGGGCTGGGCAGGGCTGGGCAGGGCTGGGCAGGGCTGGGCAGGGCTGGGCAGGGCTGGGCAGGGCTGGGCAGGGCTGGGCAGGGCTGGGCAGGGCTGGGCAGGGCTGGGCAGGGCTGGGCAGGGCTGGGCAGGGCTGGGCAGGGCTGGGCAGGGCTGGGCAGGGCTGGGCAGGGCTGGGCAGGGCTGGGCAGGGCAGGGCAGGGCTGGGCAGGGCAGCATCCTCACACCTGTGCAGGACAGCATGTGTGTCACACCCCCAGCTGTGTGCTGCACAGGGCAGAGATCTCACCCCAAAAGGAGCTTTGGGCAGTGCTGGGATTTGACTACACACTCTCAGGTCCATCCAACAAGCTCACTGCGTTTCAGACAACTGATTTCACATCTTAGGTACAACTGAAGCAGATTAGACTTACTGCAATTTTCAGAAGCCTTTGGCGTGACCAATGCTATGAAATTATCTTATCCATTAATATTCAAAGAATTCTGAGTGGCTAAAATAATTTCAGGAAACTGTGGTGCTTGAACTCTATCTATGATGACAGCAAATTTAAGGGCAATTAAACCTAAACGTAGAGGGTTTGCTGTGATGGCTTTGATGATTCCTATTACTGAGGTTATGTGAGAAGGTAAAATCCTGCCACTGAAGTTGTTGCTTATCCAGTTGATCCTTTCATGGGAAAGTCACTATGAGTTCAGGCAATAAAAACAGGAATAATGCCTTTCTTCAATACAGCTTTATACTGAAACCTTCAGGAACATCCCCACGAAATTGTGTGAACAGGGCAGTTTCTGCAGAGCCCCTCAGCAGACAGGATGGCCACACGTGCTGCTCAGACATTAACCAATTTCCCACTGTCTCCCTCCCCGAGATCACCTCGTTGCTCGGACTAATTAAATGGGATGGAATCAACAGCCCCGTAAGGCTGCCGGCTGCGGGCAGGGAGCGTGGCAGAACAACACCTTACAGGTGTGATTTGTGATGTGCTGCAGGTCACAGGGGCAGGAAAACGACAGTGAATTATCTGAGGGGTGTGGGTGACCTTTCTTCCCACAGCCATGGCAGGGAATAAATCGTCTCCTGCTTGCTGGAGGCCCACACGGCCCCTGGGTACCCCGATGGATATCGTGCTGCCAAGACCAGCAGACACCAGCTGAGCCTGGTCTCAACATCTTGCCAAAAGCAGGTGGCCAGTTTAACCCTCAGGAGGAGCTCAGGAGAGCAGCTGGTCAGTGCTCCTGTCTGTCACAACCATCCCAAGCTGGGATGCTCGTGAAGGAGAAGGAGTGTTGTACTGCACAGCCGTGTTCACAAGCACAGCAAGGGAACAAACGGGGCTCGAGGAGAACCTCTGGGCTGAACCCCTGCTCACAGCTCGGGGAGACACGCAGGAAGCCAGGGATAAACCTCTAAAGGGCCTTGGAAGAGAATTTCGCCCTTGGGAGCTACCTGTGAGCAAGCCACAGCACTGCGAGTGCTGTCCTGCAGCAGGGCCTGGGGACAGGCCACCTGCGAGGGGACAGCAGTGGGGACACCTGAGCTACAGCTGGGACCACCTGCCGCACACCCCCAGGTATCTGCAGCCCCTCCTGCAGCACCCAGGTCCTTGTGGACTCCAAGGGAGTGGCTCTGAGGACACGGCAGCCAGGAGAAGCCGCGCCAAGCCAGCGGCCACCACGGTACCTTCGCTGTCCACCTCGGGCAGCAGCTTGCGCAGCGGCTTCCGCACCTCCCAGGTGCTGTTGATGAACATGGGCATCACCTTCAGCAGCTCCTCCTTGTCCTCCTGGTGGATCACAGGGATTGTCTCCAGGATCAGCTGCATCTGCTCCAGCTCGTGGCCCCCTGAGCGGGAAGAAGACAGGCACTGAGGTGAGATACCGAGGATAAGTTGGGGTGGGTGTGTGGTGCTGTCAGCCCCAGGGGTCTCCAAACTCCAGCTTTAAAGGAATGCAGGTGTCCAGCCCCAAGAGGAGAGGTGTTTTCCACTGGCTGCTGGGCACCAAGTCATGGCTCTGGTGGTGCCAATCCCCCAGTGGCTGTGTGCCATTACACGTTTTTAATCCTTTTCCTTCAGGACATATTTGTCCATAGAAACCAAACCCCCGCTCAGGGCCGGCTGCCTGTCAGTGAGAGGAGCAGCAGAGCCCCTCGATAACGAGCGCTAATCCCACTCCTCAGCACTCTCCTGGATGTGACCAGGAGCTCCGTGGTGGATTTCCAGCCTCCCACGTGTGCTGGCAGGGACTCGGAGTTGTGCCAGTGATGTTCTGCTGGCCAGGAGGGCTGGTTAGAAACGCTCTGTCCTCAGAGGCAGGACCAGCCACTGGGGCAGGGAGCGGCCAGGGGCAGCCAAAACAACGGGGATTTTTGGGCTACCGAGTCCCTGCTGTCCCAGCCACGGATTTCAGGCTGCCCCAAGGGTGAGCAGCCCTGATCACCAAGGTCTGATCCACGACAAGAAGAGTCAGCCTCATTTATGGCCCAGCACTTCTGACCGGCCAGCAGGGCGTGTGGGGGGGCCACCTCACAGGGGATGGAGACCGCTCGCCCTGAGGCAACCCTGCTCCTGTGGGGGTCCCTGCTGTCCACAGCCCAGAGCTGGGCCAGCACGAGTTCTCCAGACCCACACCCATGGAGCTGACCCCCTGGGACAAGGGGAGGGACAATCATGGGTGCTGGGGAGCTGCCTTCTCCCGTCCTGGCCTCGCCAAGCCTGGTTCCATTCAGCCACGGCCACCTCCACGGCAGCTCTGGTGACACTGGCAGTGCACCTGGACAGCCCCAGGGCAAGGCTGACACCAGCCCAGCTGCTCACACCCAGGTCAATGGGACCGTACTGGGAGCCACTGGGAATGTGCTGGGGGGAACTGGGACCACAGTGGGGGCAACTGGGGGCAAGTGTGAGTGACTGGGGCCCTGCTGGAAAATACTGGCATCATACTGGGAGTGGCTGGGACTGTACTGGGGGCAGCTGGGAGAGCTGGGAACACACTGGGCCAAAGTGGGAGGAACTGGGACTGTGCTGGAGGCAAATTGTACCCTAATAGGGAATGACTGGGAGTGACTGGGCTTGTCCTGGGGTGCTGAGGAAACTGGAACCACACAGGGGGAGCAACTGGGCTCATGCTGGGAGCAGCCACTGCCAGCACCAGGACCCCTGAACCCCTATCCTGGCCGTCCCACCCCTCCAGCCCCAGCACCGCCCACCAGGGTCCCGGGAATCCCAGGGGTTCCCCCCTCTCAGGGGTCAGGATTAACGTCCTGAGAGAAGACAAAGGGAAGGACGCCCTTCCCGTATCAACCCTGGGCAAATTAATTCACTTCCCTAGAGAAAAACTAATTTTAGGTCACTCGGAGCTTCACAGCGTGACTCCAGGGGAAACTAAAGGTATCTACCAGGAAATGAACACCTTGTTAGTCAGGATAATTCCCAAGCTGTGATCAAAATTACAGGGTGATAAAAGTCACAAAGGCTTTATGGCTTTTCCCTCAGCGCAGCTCCAGCCACGGCTGGCTGAAGAAGCCTGGCAGCCAGAAGATACCGTGTTCAGTCACACAAAGGAGCTGCTAATGCAGCGCTGGAAGCTTTGAATTATGGCTCTCAAGAATCCCCATTCTCTTCCATTATCCTCTATTTATGGAATTCCCAGGGACCTTTTTCTGAAGGTATTACCTCCTGAAAAGGAAAACATGAACCACAGATGCTGTTGTCACCCAGGGAGAGAACAAGGAGCTCTGCACCATGTCTCTAAAAGAGAACCTTCTCCAGGCTTCAGCCAAGTCCCAGGAAGGCACCAAGCCCTGGGAGCAAGCCCTGATCCCACGGGAAAAGCCCCTGTGCTAGCCCTCGGTCACAGCCCCACTGGTGAGCCCCACGGAGATCTGCAAGGACAGACCTTTTCTCCTTTTTTACTCCTTTTCCCCATTTACTCCTGCTTCCACTGATGCTGCTCTCGGTGGGAAAGACACTGGAGGGAGCTGTGGCTGCTCAGGCACGGACACTCCTCCCCATTCCCCGTGCTGCTGCTGGGGAGCTCTCCGAAGGTCTGCGAGCCGGATTCCGGCAGCTGCAGCAGTGCTGAGCTGCTGTCAGCTTTGGGACAGCCATCTGCTGTGGCCTCCCGGGGCTCTGCCGGACCCAAATCCGCTCTGCCCCATGGGGAAGGGGCCTCTGGGAGGGGCTGGGGTCCGTTTCTGCTGCACATCCCACAATTTGTGCGGGAGAATGGAAGCAGTGAGTGACTCCTAACAACCAATCCTGAATTCACAGAGCACCCCGGACAGAGTCCCGAGTTAATTATATTGATTTATGCTAAAGCACTCGGTCTGAACTGCACGACGCAGGCTGGAGGAGACACCCTGGGCAAGGCACTTGCTGCAGGGTTGCAGCTCTCCCTGAACCACACTGCTGCTCTTTCCCACGGGGCTCTGTGAAACCCGTCCTGCAGGGAGGGACGGGGCTGCAGCTGCCTGGGGTGAGCTCCTCCAGCCCAGCCAAGGGGAGAACAGCAGCAGAAAAGGTGAATCCACATTGCTGTGCGTGGATTTTAGCTGCTGCTGTGAGTTTTAGCTGCTCTGAGGGGCTGGGTTATATTCTGCTCCTCTCTGGGCAGCGGCAGGTGAAAGACACCTCGGGCACCCTGCCTGCTGCCGGGCTCCTGCCCTGGCCCTGCTCCGCCTGCTGGCACAGGAGGAGGCCAGGAAAACGGGGCAGGGGGCCAGAACCTCCCATGACAATGATGCAGTTTCAAAGCCACCCAAAAGGAGTTGATATTTTGAGTTTGGCTTTGATCCCCACCCATTAATCAAGCATCCTGCCAGCACCTGGGGAGTTATTAAGTGATTTCGCTGGGCTGGAGAGTGGAGAAGAAGGGATGCTCGCAGCGTGTGTCCGGCAGAGCCCAGCCCGTGAGTGCCAAATCCCACCTCTGATCTCTGCCTGCTGTGGAGAACCAGCCTGGGGAGGCTCCTGCGTGGCTGCTCTGGGGCATCTCACCCAGGCAGGGGACAGATGAACCCCACCCTGGGGTGGGTTGCATATGCCTCTGCATAGCCACAAAATGAGCTTAAAGCACCACCTCGGACACCTCGGTGCTGTCAGCCAGCATGGCTCACACCGTGGGACCCACAGAGAGCGAAAACAAGCCCCAGGCTGGGCTGAGAGAGGGCTCAAGCACAGTTTGAAAAGCCAGGAACGCTTGGGTGCTGTGCTGGGATGGCCGGGGGAGGACCTCGGCAAGCAACTCTGGTTTTGCTGATTGATGTGAGGAATGAGGGGAACGGAGACTGCAGCATCTCCCAGAGAGATCAGACAAGGCCCCACACCTGCAGGGACAAGTGGCACCTGGAGACGCCCCTGCTCCTAGAACGTATCCCAAGGAAACATCAGGAGCAGACAGGTTAAATGCACAGTTTTCAAAGCTGAAATCCCTGGACTGGAAAGTTTTGGTGAAATTGAGGACAAAGAGAAGGAAGGAAGGGGTGGCAATTTTAAAGATCACTTCATAATGGTACTGACTGCTTATTTTTAAGCTTTCACAAAAGCTGCAAGCAGGAGTGGGGAGGGGGTGTCAGAGCAGCTGCAGCCAAGTCTGTGGAGCTCTGCGGTGCGCTATCTGTGAAGGAAACCTCCTCCTCCATTATTAACGGTCCTGGTTATTTATTTACACAACTCTGCCAACAGCTGCTCACAAAACACACTAAACCTTGTCATTCAGAGCACTGGCAGGCCATGGGGCTCTGCTGCACACCTCGGGAAGGGGAGCAGCTCCTGCAACAGGCAGGGGGCAGCTGCTTCGTCCCCCCACGAATGGCTCCATGTCCCAGCTCAGGAGGCTCAGCTTGGCTCCTGGCACAGCATTTTTGGGAACTTATTAAATACATTTTTTTCTTCTGAAGAACATCAGAGCTGAGCTTCAAATGCTGCATTGGTAACTCCTTGCTGTGCTTTTTGTTGTCATCTTTTCTTGCACTTCACCTTTGCAGCTGCAGCTCGTGCTTACAGGTAAATCCTAAAAATGGGTGGTGGCGTTCAAATGTTTCCCCTCAAAGAACAGAAACAGCTTGAAGACACCGACCACAATTCAAATCCACGGCATAGAGTACAAACCTCCTGGAACAGGGCACTGTTATCTCCTCTCCTTACACGGGGGAACTCCCTCTGCTGGGCTAGAAAGCCTCGGAATTGGCTAGCAAGGGAGGAGGGAGGGAAAAAGTGAAACAACAGGAGACAGAAACCTACCGGCAAAGAGCATCCTCCCAGTCAGCATCTCGGCCAGGATGCAGCCCGCTGCCCACATGTCAATGGCTTTGGTGTAGTTGTTGGGCGACAGGAGGAGACGGGGGGAGCGGTACCACTTCGTCACCAAGCCTTCGGACAGGTAACCCTGGAGGAGCAGAGAGAGACAGGGGCTGAGCAGGGACAGTGTGCAGCACAGCTCCATCCTGAGCAGAGACAGGGGCTGAGCAGGGACAGTGTGCAGCACAGCTCCATCCTGAGCAGAGACAGGGGCTGAGCAGGGACAGTGTGCAGCACAGCTCCATCCTGAGCAGAGACAGGGGCTGAGCAGGGACAGTGTGCAGCACAGCTCCATCCTGAGCAGAGACAGGGGCTGAGCAGGGACAGTGTGCAGCACAGCTCCTCCACCCGTCCCCGGTCACTCCTCACTGCGGCCCCACTGCTGGATACTGCAGGACATCCTGCCCCCCAGGCCTGTTCCCGTGCAGGCTGGGGCTGCTGGCCCTGCAGCTACAGGGACCTGGCAGACACCAGAGGCACCTCGGTGCTCCGCCAGGCACGGCGCTCGCTACTTGTCACCAGGGTATTGCAGCACCTCCCGCAAAGGACAGATGGGTTCGGTAGCACAAATCTGCAGATCACACCTGCCTGAGCCATTCCAGGTCACCTCTGGAGGACCTGGAGGTGTCCTACAAATCCCAGTCCCCATTCATGTGAGACATCGTCCAGGAAAACAAAAGGGTTCGGGAGGATTGGCAGCGCAGTGCGGAAGGAAAGGCTCCTGTATCTGTCTGTGTAGGGAACAGAGCTGCCAGGGGCTCTCAGCCAAGACTCCGGAAAACAAGATGCCATGGGATAAGTGGGAAAGCCCTTCTGGGGAATACCTAGCTGATGCAGGGATGGGAAACCCTCTTCCTCCTGCACTGAGCCTGCGCCTTGCCTAATAAATCACCTCCCTCCCTTGTCAGTGGCTGCTGGGGCTTGGTGTGGCAAGGGGCACGCATCCTCACCCTCACCCTCACCCTCACCCTCACCCTCATCCTCATCCTCACCCTCATCCTCACCCTCATCCTCATCCTCGGTTCAGTCCCACTCTCACCCCAGTCCCACTCTGCTCACACTGAGGATGTGGGGTAGCTCCTCATCCCAGTCCCACTCTCACCCCAGTCCCACTCTG